TATCAGCGTGGAAGTGCTGAAGCACTTGTGCGTTAAGTCAGTAGGAGCAGCGCTGGAGGAAGCAGATGCGCTGAGTGAGGGAAGAGGATTGCAAGTTGGAAATGATGCAGCCATAGCTGCTCAGGAAGTTAGTATTAGTATTAGAGGGTTAGTAGTGGTTTGCTATGAGTAGTATCCAGAGTAGATCCTCGTGAGTGAAGAGTGTGTATGCATCGTAGGAGGAAGGGACTGAGGCTGAAAGTGTTCATTCAAGGTYCGGCTATGGAAGATACTTACCTGGGTTAGATGTGACCTGCAGAGGTGGCACTGAAGAAGTAGTGACCACATTGACGACTTGAAGATTGTCTGCAGATGTAGCGTTGATACAATGGAAGCCATATTGATGAGTTGATAAGAGATTGGTGTTGCACTGATGAGCGCTGGACTCAGGGGAATTTTGAAACACTTTATATTCATAATTCTGATAATTTAAGTTGTGAAACTCGTTCCTCTTCTTCTCTACCTTAGTCTATGGTTGACACTATTGATCACTACGAGTGAAGATGATGCATGACATGTACACATTTGCGTGAGATGGTCCCTAGGACCCATGCAAAATTTTGGTATCGGAGCTGATGCTCGCTACTCTCATAGCGCTGGCATGAGTAAGGCCGGCGAGACATGGTGATGGAGGAAGAGTGAAGGAGGGAGGAAGAGAAGAAGAGTTGATAGTGGGGAAGCAGGCCGAGGAAGAAGAGGCAAGGATTACTTACCTGGAGCGTGCGGAGCGTCGTGGAGTATCATCGGCGGCACCTTCAAGAAGAGAGAAGCACCTCCGTTCCCTGAACCTGCATGTATGTGTGTGTCCCCTACCTTCTCTCTCTCTGACCCTCTGAAGGTGACTGCTGCTGATCTGGTCAGAGTCGAAGTCTGGATCTGGATTTTCATAGTTGTCAGGTCTGAGTTGTCAGAGTCTGATGACCCAAGAGTGATGTGTCAGGGACTGGCCATACTAGACTAAGTGGTCCAGTGTTCTGTGAAGGAGTAGCTTTCTTCTCCTACCCCTCTTGATAGGCAGGCTGGGAATTGTCATCAAGGACTAAAGAATCGACGTGGGAGTGGCTATATGCCACGTCAGATAGCGTGTACCAGGCAGTATACAAGTGATATTGAGCAACGACAGGGCCTGCTAAGCCCGAAAGGAAAGAAAGAGTGAACGCAGTATATCTGCCTGGTTGGATAAGTGAACCATCTGCATCTGACAATCTGCGCTGTACTCCATATCTGCATCAGACAACCAGCCTGCTAGTAAAAAAATAAAAAAAATAAAAAAAATAAAAAAAATGAGGGACATCAGAAACACATTGCCGAAGGTTGATCCAGGGAGCCAGACAGCATATCAACAAGTAGTTACTTCGATCTGATTTGTTGATTGATTACCGCAGCACCTTCTACAGTTAAAAAAAAAAAGTGTACAAGTACTCCATTGCCACAAATCAACATTTAGTCAGGTGGTTGGGATAGTACCTTGGTGATCCGGTGGAGGACCACCTGTGCCGGCCATCACCATGGATGACTATCCTATCCAGGGCCTCTTGGCCCTCTCTGTTTTGTTGGGGCCATTGTTCAGGTTCATGTTCCCGTTGGGATTTGGACGTGTGTGCACGTCCCGCATGTTGATGCGATCAGGAGCAGTCAAGTCTGGCCCCACACCTGCGGAACAGGCAGAGATAGACCGCAGGTTGGCAGAGAAGAAAAAAGAGAAAGAAGCCAAGAAGAAACAGAAAGAAGAAGAAGCCAGAAAGAAAATGAAAGAGAAGATGGAGAAAGAATTGGAAGAAGAATTGAAGAGCATAGAAGAAGAAGAAGAAGTAAAACAGGAAGAAGAACAAACCTTGCAAAGACGTCGTCACGTTAATATCCCGGAAAGTAGCACAGCCAACCGACTCCCCGTTGAACCTTTGAACTGGGCTGACCAATATTATTACTCCAACGAAATCTTAAAGGAGTCTGAAGAAGAACGTGATCTGTTCCTTGCTAAGTTAGCTACGGTAAATGACACCGTTGAGCGGAACCTGATGATGGAAGAAAAAAGGGCAGAGTTAAACAGTAAACTGCTAGCCACCAGAAGACAAGAAATTGATGAAAAGAAAAGGCGGCAGGCAGAAGGGGAGAAATTACAGAAAGCTCTAGAGGAGCAAAAAGATAAACCCTCTGCGACCGAAGAACAACTAGCACTGCTAAGGGAGGCTGTGCTTAACACAAGACAAGATATGAACTTAATGCGCCAGACACTGCAAAGAGTTGAGACCCATCGGGTTGAGTTCGAGACTATTTGGAACAACTTCTTAGAAAAGTCTGCTAAGGACGTGGACCATCATGTTCAGACATATATCTAGGTTTTGGATGATCATGTCACTAACACATTCACTCCGGAAGTCGTAGAGAGGATTGTAAAGGGAGCTGGAGGCGATGGGGGAGATGGTGACGACGATGGCGACGGTGACAGGAAGGAGAAGAAGACGATTGGGGATCCTAAAGAAAAACTTCCTCAGGAATCCGGGCAGGTTAGCAAGATCAAGCTTAAACTGCCCTGGACCTGTAATGGGAAAAAGGAAGAGAGTGTCTTACATTGGGCAGCCGCAATTGAAACCTACGTATACGGACAGCGTATCCCATATTGGGACAGGGTATTGA